CTATATATAGGTACGCGGTACCTTTCCAACTACCCACCTACGACAGTGGTCTACCCACAGCGTGAAGTGTATTGGACTTTCATTTATTTTTCGTATGAGTCACCGCTTAAATTTTACATAGTATACTCGACACTCGCATATTATCACGGAGAGTTGTAAATCCGTATACGAATTATAAACGGGGACACGTATTATAATGCAGTTGATTCTCTCGGTGGACAAAAGCCAAATCGTTGTCAATTGACCGGCTCAAAAAATACTTTTATTACTTACTGTATACACGAATACAATGCCGACTACTTTAGTCACACGGGATGATAAAAAAAATAATAATAATAACAACGCGTATACATTTTATTATCTATATCCTATAGCATATTAAACTTAATAAAAACTTTATACCGTTTGTTAACAGTATGTTTTACATACGCCATATAGGCACATCCTATAGTTATTCGTATGTCAGATAGAATCTTAAACACGAGGCCGTAAGCTGCAATCTGTTAAAAAATCTAAATTCTTTTGTCGTGTATATATAGAGATCGAAGAAATAATATTAACAAACTGTTTGTTCGCATAATATAATATACTTGAATACAGCATCTCTCTGGAAGAAAGATATTTTTTTTTTTTATAAATAAATATCATAAACTTTAACGTAAATCGAAACGAAAGTATTTATTATTATCAATAATTGTATTTGATTATATTATTAGCTATTGTTAATTTGAAAATTATCGACTACTTATTGAAGTACAAATAGTTATACAAGTTTTTTTTATTTCGAAGTACACGTACAATCTACTTCGTTTGTATTAATATAACTAATTTATTTAATTTTTTTATTATACAGCTAACCTGCTGATGAAATTTACTATATTATTTTGGATTCTGAGTGGAGGGAAGAACCTTATAGTTTTACACATTTTCTGGTAGAAGACTTGCTCAGATTTTTAAGGGTAGTACCTTTTCTGAAAGGAAATAGGTGTGGGGAGGTACTTTAGGGGGATAATATTTCGATTTTCTAGGGAGTTTTCTCAACAATTGTGTAATACCGAAAAAAAAAATTGAGGAAAACAAAGAAAATGTAAGAAATATAGGTATTAGTTAAAATATATTACGGCTTTCTTTTTTCCTGTGAACAAATTTTTTACCAGCAATTATGATAGCAATAATGTTTCTAAAAGGAAAGCCGAAAGGGGAGGTACTAAAGAGAGGTAATTTTTCGATTTTCTAAGGAGTTTTCCCAGAAAATGTGAAAAACTGGGGAAAACATGGATAACCGGGAAAAACGTAGAAAAATTGGTACAAAATTAAACAAATATTATTAAAGAAAATATATAAAACCTATTTTAATTATTTAACTATAATATGGCATATATATTGTTGACAGAGCACCACCATCAACCAAACTCCACTCAGAATCGTTTTTTCGTAAGCAATGGTTTATCGTCGTTTACAAGTATACATTAAATTGCCTATAACAGTGGCCGCACCCGACCCCATTACCCTAGGATAGCCGAGGGGAAATTTCATTATTGTTACATGAGCTCTTTACTCGCTACTCGTTTTTTCCGTTTTCTTTGATAGACTTGTATTGCGTATAGATAATTTAAGCCGAATATTTTTTCGACTAAATTTAATATTACATAGATATTTAATGTGGGTGTAGCGATTGTAATATCGTTGTAGTTATTCATAGTTGTATTCGGGTAGTTGAATAATCTTCTGGCCCGAATCCCGCGGCAAAGGAGTACGTGGGAGTGCGGTCGTCGCGGTCCCAAAGTCCCCGGGCAGGAGAACTTACCGTCAAGGTCCGAGGATCCTATTGCAGCAGCAGGTAGTGTCGTGATGATTGGCTGCATTTTAACGAGACCGCAACGCAACGCGAATCACTCCCGTGCACGGCTACAATGTATATTGACACATCGAGGAAAATAATAACAGTTATTAATAACAATATGTTACTTACTCGTAACAATGCTTACATAATGTGTTAATTGCTTTTTTTTTTTTTTTCGATTTCTATTGTGACATAATAAGGACCTCTACACGTTCAGTCGCTGTTTTTGTGTGCACTACGAAATCCCGAGTGTGCGCTACGAAAAATTAAAATGCGCACCCGTCACCTGCCGTTTTTATTGTAGACGATAGTCACGTTGGTCCGCAGATGTAAGAAAAACATTTTTTTTTTTTTTTTCATTTTTATATATACAGCGTGATCAATCATCGTTAAGACGCTCATTATCACGGAAAGTATGTACTTTTCGGAATTTTTTTTTTTCAACAACTTATTACGAGACAAAGAGCTCTAAAATGTTACGTTACCGTTATTTTTCGTTGTTCTTATTTTCGGGGGTGAAACCACTGCACACACTTTTGAATTTTAAACAACGACCTTCATTAAAAATTCCCATAACTATATGACGTTTTAATTAAAATACGTATCGGCGTTGAAATTGTTAATTCCCGTTAACGTTCTCTATTGTATAGGAGCTCTATTTCTGGGTCTGTTCAATTTTTACGATACCATTCGCCCCCACATCCTTAATATCGATTATCAACACTCGCATATTTATATTGCTTAGAAGTCTTTACACTTGTATTCGTACGTTTTATATTCATCAAAAGTGAAACCAATCGCGAAAAAAAAAATGTTTATACTGTTTATTATTCTTTGACGAAAACAATATATTTTAAAAGTCGTTGGTAAGTGTAAAAATAATTAAACACAACCAGCGCGTTACTTTGTTAAATTGCGCCTAATATCGGATTCGGGAATTACATTCGGACACACGTTCAAAAGCCGAGCGAGCGATGGGCTGCAGACAAAACCGGGTGGGCTAAGCCTTCCCAAGCCCCCATCTTCCTGTTTGCGTCTAATTGCGCGGACAAAGCGCTACACTTGTAAATCGGAGCAAAATCGCTGGTGGAAAAGTTGTTCGCGGGAAAACAAAAAAGCCGTAATGTTTTACCATACGTTCGTAAATGTTCCCGGTTTTCGCCGGGATTTATCGGGAAAATCATAGAACGGCCTTTTACTCTATTAAAGTACCGCCCCGGTCAGGTTCCGTCGCGGGAAAAGCGCTACACTAGTAAATCGGGGCGATACTGCCGGTGGAGTTCGCGGTCGTTCGCGGATAAAAAAAAAAAACCCCGTCAAAACGCCTTCGCGTAAAACCGTAAGCTTATCGGCCGGCAGCTCTATTCGGTCCGCTCGGGATTCGAAAACGTTCTCCCGAAAAGTCAACGTTTCGCGCGCACAAGTGTGAAACGTCATACGACACGCCCGTATACATTTTTAATGCGTATTACACCGCTCGCGATTAATTAAATCGTCTCGGCGGAGCCCCGCCAGGTACATTATAATTTCCGTTTTGTTTCGACAATACACTGGCAGTGCGCATGTATACGCACACGCGCCCGTAATATTGTAATATTAATTCAATATTCCGTCCGACGGCGATTCGCCGGGGTACGCTGTGTCGTCGTAAAACACAATACAAAATATCGCACTGCGTGCGCTACAACAGCCAGCGTACGTGCACTAGTTATACAGTGTGTCGTATTGTTGTCGTCGTCGTGTATACGCGCCCGTTTGAAACGTTTTTAATTGGACAACGGAACGAGTGTCAGCGGCTGTCGCGCAATACTGTATGATAAAATAGAGGGGCACGGCAAATTAAGTCCCGACCGGCCCGCAATCGTCGTGCTTAATTGGATAAAACTAAATGAAAAAAAAAAAAAACAAATAATAATAAAAAGCAAAAAAAAAAAGGAAGAAATAAAAACGCTCATTATTATTATTATTGTTATTGTATACGAGTGCACGCGTATACGTGTGCATTATAATAGTGTACATTATACCGATTGTATTATACAGGATGGTTGATATTTTTAACGTTGCGCGGACAGTTTCCCCGGGTAATTTTCCGCGTTTTCTTTGCCGCGCGCGTGCCCCCCCGCCTCCCAATCGCGTCGTTGAAAAGTTACGCCGCGGAAACAGAGTCGCGGATATACCGTGGGCCGATATTATTGTACGCGCGAGACGCCGTCGTCGCCGTATCGTACGCGCTGTGCGGCCGGAGTTCTAAACTGCACTCGTTCGCGTGTCCCGTGTTTATCTCGTAGGTACCCGGATACCGAATAAAATAAATATCTGTATACCCGTGCACGCGGGGCAAACTATCGCGTAATTCTCGGTGTCATAAACAGACTGCTAGAGCACATATCGAATTGCGATAAAGTTTTTCGATTTTCGCACAATAATATTTTGTCGAGTTCTCCGCGAGAACGGATACCGCATCGCACTGTACTGACCGGGTCGGTAGTATTTACCGAATTTCGTGTTATACGATCAAATTTCTCACAAAACGCCTTTTTTTTTTTTTATCGGAAATCGCGTAAAAACTTTTATAAAACGTTACTATGTCCTTGTTTTTATCACCCTTATAACGTTTGGGTGACTGTCTGATTTTGATTTTCACATAGCAGCTATACCTGTATAATCCATAGTACATTTTTAGTTTAAACACATTTCGACGTTGAAGTTTTAAATTTACGTTATCTCGTGACGAGATAATCCACTTTTAAGTTTGGGTAATGTTTGGGTATTATTTACTGTGGTATATAATTATGGAGCCCTATTCAATGCCGCATGCCGCGACACCACAGAAATAAACTTCCACTACTCTCCGCTACTAAAATTTTAAAGCGGAATATCACGCCAACAGATTGACGAAATGTATATTTCATTGAAAAAAAAATTAACTATGAAATTCTGTATTTATCTTTTCCCCGCTACTTTTGAACAATTTAAACGGATCGTTCTGGACTAAACTCAGGAATGAGAATTCGTTTAAAGGAGGATTTAAGGGATAAAATCTTGATTGAAATTTGTTATGAATTTCAAGAGTAACTTTTATAACTATTCTAATAATATGAAGTTAATTATGTATCGATGGCTTGACAGGTGAATACGTACGCCGAAGACGGATGCGATGACGACCGTATTCATTGGAAAACGCGGTGGCGGCCATCACAAGGAAAAAGTCGACGCTGTAGCGCATGGCAAAAGGAGAGAACTACAGGTGATCCGGGCGGAAGGACAGGCGTGCGCTCGCAGGACGGAAGTCCTGTGCCGCGAAATGTTCAAAGTCCGTGCAGAGTTGGACGCGGCCGTCCGGGAATACGACCGTAGGAAGGACGAGTTGGCCGGCCGTCAGACAGCGGCGCACAACCGGTTAGCGCAGGCGCTTGAGAATCGGTCAGCGGCTGAGTTGTCACGCGAGACGGTCCGAGACCAGGCGGAAAACGACCTGAAAGCGCAACGTACCGCCGGCACAGTGCGGGCGTATCGTCTGGACACTAGGTGGCGACTACTGCACGGCCGGTACCGGGGCTTCGTTGCGGACGTGTTGAATGACGAAGAACCGTCGGAAGGACATCAGCTCCGCCGGCTTTCCGCGGACGACGAAGTCGCCGCTGCACCCGGTCGCCGACAGCCACCGAGAGCCGGCGGACGCCGTTTCTTCGCGGTCGCTGATAAGTTCAGCGTGCAACACCGGCGTGAATCGCTCCGAACGTCCCGGTCGCTGCACGCCATTTTGTCTGGTTATCTCAAGGAGACGAGCGATGAAGGCTCGTGCGGCAAGGGCGTCGCCGCGTCTCACGGGCCGTCTCGCCGACGGCGGTCTCTGCGGGGAACCGCGGCGCTCGACGGGGTCAAACCGGAACAGGTGTTGGACAAGTTACGCGTAATGCAAGAACAGTGCGCTCGAATCGCGGAGCGGGTGCGCAGACGTAATGCCGCCACAGACGACGCGGTCAGCAATGACGACGGCCCGGGCGACCGTTCAACACGAAGCAGCCGTACGAACGGCGGGCCGCAAGCCGAAATGCTATCGGAAGCACACGAAAAGCTGGCGGCGGGCCTGGAATATTTGCGAACGATACGCGCGCTGAAGGACAGGGCCGCTGAGGCCGTTCAACGGGAACGGGTAGCTTTGCGCGGACTTTTGCGTACGGCGTGTGGCGCGGTGTGCGCCGCCGGCAACAAGCCCGCGGCACAGCCGAACGACTCGTCATCGTACACCGTCGTAGAGATCGCGGGCCGTCTGGAACGCGCTTGTTTCACCCTTTTCGCCCGGCTGGACAAGGCCTCGGGACCCAGCGGTGGCAGCGGCGGCACCGCCGGACGAGACGTGGTCGCCTTGTGCTTGCGCGCCGTACAAACGCAACGCGCCGACGCCATTCGCCAAGCCCGGGACGTCGCGCGTCGCGTGGACGATTTCCACAAGGCGACCGCCCGGTTACTGTCGGCCGCCGCGCCGACGAAACGTGCCGGCGCGGCAGGCCGCGGCCGTGCTCGTCGGCCCGCCATGCCGCCCGGCAAGCGGCACGCCGCGACGAGTTCGGGCGAAATTCAGTCGGCCGCACCGCGGACATTGACGTCCGTCCGGCGGACGCCGCCGCTAGCGTGTAAGGTGACCGGCAAAACGCAGACCGTCCCGTCCGCGGTATCGCCGCCCGCGAACGGTTTCGCCGTGCAAGAGGCCGCGACGACGGACCGCGACGTACCGACGATAAAAATGCTGTGTCCGCCGATCATCGGTATCATAGAATACGAGTGAAACGTCCAAAAATGTGTGCATCATGCACTAGAACCTGCAGCTCAAGTACACGGTTAAACGTCTGTTAGCGAAATAACGGCGTGTAATTACATTAAATCGATTTATACACGCATTTTGCAACTTCGGTTAGGTATGCAGTGCTACGCACCTTTCAAAAGTTTAAGCGCTCAGTTATAAGTTAACTGTTCTGTTCTTGTTTAGTTGGTAATTTATTATGTGTGAGGGAAACTCTAACGTATAAAAAAAAAATACTATTTTAAACTCAACTTTTTCTTGTTGACTACTACGTGCTACTTATAATGAACGTCTTGTTAAATTTGCAAGCATTTCGGTTTGGGTTAACAATTTTATCCACAGAGCACGACGTCGAATAAATATTACGTAAAAAAACTCCCAAAATTAATATGACTATAAATAACTCAAAAAAGATCCGAGTGTTTTGAAAATTTTTCACGTCTATGAAAGGCAAATATAATATTTTTATTCAAATTTCAAGAATCTACGATTATTTTTCACTGAATCACAACAAAACAACAAAATTGAAAATCATAAAAAGATTACTTTCCCGTTTTTCCCCGACTTTTCCCAATCATTTTAAAACCGGCTTTGAGAATAAAATAACAGCTTTATTACAATACCATCCCAGGAGAGTCACCTTTCAGAAAAGATGCTACACTTGAAAATCGAAGCAAGACTTCTGGTAGAATTTTCCTACAGAGAATAGAAAAAAAATTTAAATAAACATCATTGTAATCTAAAATATGTTGACTCAGACGGATCCTGCAGTACAAACAAATTAAAATATATATAATATAATTATAGTACGCGGAAAGAAAATAATGTATTTATTTGTTGATTAAATTTTGTTTCTGTCGGGTAAACATTAAAAAAATAAAAAAAACCCCGCCCATTTGTCTCGAAAATAAATGCACCTTTTTTTTTAGAAAAAAAAAAGTTATATGATTATAATATTGGTAAAACTGATCGTCATTAATGATTTGTAATGCACGTTCATAACCCAACAGAATTGTACATTTTGTTGTTGTATACAATCGTTATAAACTATTATAACATAATGTTTTATAGACAATTTAAAAAATTGTAACCTGTACGTAACATAATGCATTGTGGGGATAATCTAAAAGCGCACCGACGACAAAAATGTGCGTACTGGTATACATTATTACGATATGTATATGCATATCCATGTGCGTAGCCGTGAACAGAGACTGCAAAGACTTGAGGCTTGAGCCCGATAGGTCTATACTCGTATGATTAACCTCATTGTAAGTATAGGGCTCGAGACGTACCAGGGAGGCATAAGTCCTCCAAAGCCCCGCCCTTTTTACGTCTAGGTATTACTGTAGATTATCCACCCAGACGCCCGGCGCACGTTTTTATCAATGTCTTCCGTCTAGACCGCGAAGGCGTGAATTGAATATCCAACACGTCCAAATAGTTTAATTTAGTTATACATTTAGAAACATCACGTAATTTAATGATTTTACAATCGACCTGTTTAAAAATGTTCGGTTCGTTTAGATTTCACGGCGGTTTTGATAAAAATATGCAAGGCACAGTGGCGTAGCCGCTTACAGAGGGACAACCGGCGTAGTCGTCTCAGAGCGTACAATTTTTTAGAGGATTTTGTGCGTAATAAGCAGCGCTTGCTGATAGATATGGCAGACTGGACATTGACTGTCCAGGGCCTCCCTTTTCGTGAAAGGTCTCTTGCAAAAAAATCTCCAAGCAAAATATTTTTTAGGTTTTAGCCACATGCCACATTTTTAGCCGCAGACTGTACAACGCTTGCAGCATATAATTAGTACCACTAAAAATCCGATTTAACATCCTTATTACGCAATCAAGACTTCATCTAAAATTACCATTAATAATTATTATTTTGAATAAACGTACGTAGGTACACTATTATTCAGAGCTATAAGAAAATAGCTTCTAATATTAATTGTCGAAATATTATAGACAAAACTAGGCAAGTTAATCAAATTTAGTAACTGAGTTAGTTACTGGTACTTTCCTTGATTGAATTACTTAGTTGAGTTACAGGTTTTTAAATAAAAGAAGTATCGAACTAGTTAACTATAGTTAAGTAACCAGTTAGGTAATAATCGAATATTTACAAGTTACAAAGTTACGAGTTATTTTTAAATTGGTTTTTATTTTATAATTAATAGTAGTTATGATGATTACTTGTGAAAAATGTACAAATTTTAGTGGCCGGATTTTTTTTTTTTTTTTTAGAAATTGGTCATATAGCTTCCATAGTGACAGCACGTTATTAAAATATTATAACATCGTAAGTATTATGTAAAAATCAAGGCGTATTGATACACCTTGGTAAAAATATAATTTTTTTTTCTCTATCATGATACACCTGATATACATGTCGATATTCCTCAGAAAAATAAATCGCTGAGTTGTAAAGATATCGGTGACAAAATGATAAAAACTAACTTATAACTTTTTTTATTTAAATAAAAAGTAACTTTTTAAGTTACAAGTTACAAAAAAACTAAAGGTAACTACAAGTACTGATATTTGTAACCTTTTTGTAACTTTATAACTAGTTACTGCTTTGAATATAAATGATTTCACTTCAAAAAATTAAAAAAAAATATTTTAATTGATAACATATGTTACCTATATAATTGTAATTTTTAAGTATTGTACTACTGCTATTCTTAATTAATAAATAAACCGCTAGACAAGATTATCAATTTCGGTAATTCATTTGAAAATATATAAACGTTTTCGTTCTTTATAGGTATTTAATTATTTTTATATTTTATGTTCCTTACTTTGAGTATATTCAATAATTGAATAAGGCTCAAAACTTTGATACCAATATAAAACACTTAAGCATAAAATCCCCGTATAATTTGTATAGGAAATAATAGGTTTATAATAGTAATTTTTTTTCATACGATCGCTTTAAGCCTTGTTTGAATATTTAATGTATTTTTTTTTTTTTTTTTCGAAAAATCGGGTGGCGTATGCCCCTCTCCTCTCACTGGGCTCCTATTATATGATTTTAAGCCTCGCAAGAGTATTTTGCCTAAGGCCTCACAATAATAGCTGACGCTGGCACTGGTTAATAGGGGTTCTAGTAATTTTCAAGTAATTATTAGTTAGACAAATTATGGTTAAAATGAATCAATATAAATGTACATGTGAAGCAGGCCAAATAATTAGTTGTTCACGCCAATGTAATCAACTATGTTTTATATGGCACCGGCACTGACAAACTGTCAGTAATATGTATTAGGTACAATTACATTTTTAAAATTAAAACGAAATGTTTTATGTGATGAGGTATGGCAGGGTTCGAAAACATACAGAACTGTAAATTGTATTGGTGATAAAGAGTGTAATTTATATTTTTTATTGTAGGGGCGAAAAAAAAATGTCCGAAAAAATCCGAATATAAAACCGATTCGAAATGCTTAAAATAATTTATGTAACAAAACGATGCGCCGACTATAAATACATAGATCCAAAATTTCACAATAAAGCTTCTAAAAAAGTTTTCGGTCGTAATCGGTCGAAAACTACAGGTAAACTTAAGAGCACGTCCGCACGTACTGCTTTCACCGTTTTAAAAATGCGCGACATAGCAAATTTGCATTAAGCGGCCAGTTCTTTATGCTGTTTTTAGTTTTAATATTAAAACGTATCGGCCAAATTTAAAACTTCAGGTCATAAACATTATCCGGGTAGCTATGTCGATTTTTTTTTTTTTTTTTTTTTGACGATATTTCAATTTCTCAGTGAGATATAAGTATAAAAACGCACATAATGTATCGCTTCAAAATTAAAAAATATCGAAAAAAACAAATAACGTAGTCGCACAGATTGTTTGATGATTAGTCAGTTTGCTCTAATATTAAAACTAACAGCACATGCGTTGGTAGTGCGTTTGTAAGACACGAACACAGCCAGTGGCGTATTTATCGGTAGATTAGAGGAATATATCTGCTTCCCTTGACCTTTTTCTAGTATCTAATATTATTATTCACATGGCTACATAATTCTTTACATTTTAGTCAGAAAAATAAAAAAAAAAAATTGCTGGTTGACAGTACATACATACATACATATTAGTTAATATATCTAAAAACCTGAACGGGTTTAAGATAGGTCAACGTAGGGTTTAACATGTCCTTGTTAAACTGAAACATGTATGCAAACCGGATCCGGGGGAAGGTTCATGGGGTCCGGACTCCTTTCTCCCGAAATTTCTTCAACCACGAAATCGAAATGTAATTTCCATCGTTGGAACGCACTACTATAACACTGATTTTATTTTTTCTTTTGTTTATTGCTGTTAATTGTCGAGCCATAATACGTTTCTTATATAGAAGCTAATAAACATTTTTTTTTTTTTTTTTCTAAACACCGGTCTCGAAAAAACGGTACAATCATAGTGTTAAATTATGAGAATTGCATAGGCCTGCACTAAAAATAAACTGTTATCGATGGATGGCTTTTGACAATAAGAAAATATAAGTACGGCCCTGCAACAATTGTCGTTACGTAAAGTATTACAGTTAATCCCGAGGCAGTTTTAAACAAGTTCGCCCCTTGAAAAAATAAAAGTATATTATCGATTTGTAAATTAATTTTTAATTGTTTAATAGTATTTACGTATAATTTAATTTCAACATGCAATTTAATTTCTCTTGGTTTTCGTTCAATCTTAAAAATATTAAAAGTCAACATATTACACAATGTGTCAAGATATAGATATTATTTATATAATTATACTTGATGAAAAAATTATTTTTTGATTGCTATTTGACCTCCCCCTCTCATCAAGATACGACCCTGCAAACTACTGTGTAGTAACACTGTGTCCCACGAAGCTATACCCGTTTTAATAACTTCAGAGATAATAAAGATAATTAAATTCTGTTTTTTTTTTATTTATATATATATATATTATTCACAGAGATAAAGACTACAAATATTTATATTTCAAT